ACTAAATCTTACATATCATTTGTCTCCTGCTATGCTTTAACTTGAAATAGTACGATAAATCACATTATACTATAATAGTATGAAAATATATATAGATATAATAGAAGATTGGAGACTTTCGATAAAGAGATATGGTAAATCGGATCTGGAATACTTGAAAAGATATTTCTAGTAGTCTGAGAAAATAACTTTAAATTGTCTAATAATAATAATAATAGTTTTTCTCTTTATATTTTCTACGCAATGTATTATGCATCTTGTCATCTCGCAAAAAAAAAAAAAAAAAAAAAGAAAAACAATATGAAATAATATTAATATCAATCGAAATACTCGACGTAAATTTCATTCGTGGAAATATTATTGTATTATTTTCTCGAATAACATACAAAAATTCTGTTTAGTGCAATAAAACAAATTAATCGAATTTATCAAGTAAATAAAAATTTAATTTAAAAAAAATGGAACGAAGATTAATACGAAATTATGGTCGTTATAAAGAGAAAGAGAGAGAGAGAGAAAGAAAATTGAGGAATTATAATCTAAAATCTATAAGATGCATTCTAAGCAGAATTCATGATCGTTAATCAAATCTCATGGAAACGTAAGGTTCATCCATCAACTATTTCCCATATTCTCTCCTTTATTCCTTTCACGAATATGTCTCAACTATGATACTATTTATACGTATATATATATATATATGTGTATGTGTGGGTGTATGTGAGTTTGTATGGATGCATAGGAAAGCTCAAATCGTTTTCCATTGGATCCAAATGATGACGAAGACGACGAATGACGTAGAAAGTTACTATCCAAACGTGACATCGAATTTCCATGTATTTCCGGTTTTCCCTTTTGACCCATTTGATTCGTAACACGATCGCGTTTGCTTTTAATCGTAAAGCTTGAAAGAGTGGTACGATGGTGTGATGGTGATGATGGCGATGGTGGTGTACGGTTTGATTTATGACGTTAATTTCTATAGAAAGAAAACGTGGAGGAGGGAGGGGGTGGTTAGAATGAGTTATTTTTCCGACGTTAGTTTCGTTACTTTCTTTTATGTTAGAAGTAGAAGTAGAAGAAGAAGAAGGAGTTGATGTAGAAAAAAAAAGAAAATAGAAAGAAGAAAGAAAGAAAGAAAGAAAGAAGGAAAAGATAAAAGAAAAAAAGGAAAAACAAGGTACTTAAACCCCGTTTGTAGGTGGAAAGGAAAGGCTAGGGGAAAAAAGGGTGTGTTTGATACGTGAGAAGAATTTCCTGGATTCGTCTTTTTCGTTTGTAACGACACTCCGGAGAAAGAATAGATAGGACAAACAGTTTTATATATATATATATATATAAAGTACAAAATGTAGGGAAAAGAAAAGGGAATGGAATGTCTTCTAGAACGTACGAATAAATTTGTGAGTAGGTATAAAGGAAAAAAACGAAAACTAAGTACACATGAATAATAATTGAAAGATAAGATAAGAAAGACAATGACAATGAGAGAGAATAATGCATATGGGGAAAGAATTTGTTTTTAAAAGGAGTTCTACAACTACTACGATCTAACATATAATTTTTTAGTAAACGATATTTCTAATACCACGATATATGAATATTTCATAGAAAGTGAGTTGACCTAACATCGTCTAAAAATACAATTTTAATGTTACAACGGCGCTTATGTTAGTTAAAATACGTCGATGGTTCGATCATTTTCTATCGTTATTTATCTTTTTATTATTCTTGTTAACTTATATATTAATGTACGTAAATGTATGTATAAAATGTTTACTTATAAATATGGTAACACATAACTATCGTACACACGTAATACACATACTCGAATGAAACTGGCTATGATGTATTATATCGATCGTAATTTTCAATATTCTCCAAGTCTAATTTATTTTCCCATTATCAAAGTGACATCGAGACTAAGTTATTTTTAGATTATCTCGTTTATCGTTATAAACAACGTGCACGTACGGAGGAATGTATTTTAACGTTGACTAAAAATAATACTTCATTAATCTCAAAATGAACTCGGCTTTTGTTGAGCGTTGGCGTTGTTATATCAATACGAATAAAAAAACCAACAGTATAATATTTATCTTTACATTTTTGTCATACGTGTAATGTTATTGTTTTTTTTTTCTTTTTTCTCCAATTTTATTTCTTTTTTACATTTAAATATCATTTTACGTAAAACAACGACTGTAAAGCCCACGAGATATATTATTCGTTAAAAACGGATATACACCGTACGCGAATCGATTTATCCCATATACTATATTCAATTTCGATACGTGAAAATTGAATTTTCGACTGATGAAAGAAATATTTTCTTCGATTTTCCCTTGAATTTATCTTTTTTATTCTCGGTCGCTTGTATATTTTATTCTTTTTTTATTTTTAACTATTTCAAAAGTGGAATTAACGTATCGTATCATTAAAATACCACATTTTCCGAAGAATTTCTATTTTTTTCTGCAGTTCATTTACATTTAGACTCGTTAGAAATTAACGAAATATTCGATGATATCGGTTTAAATATAAAATTTAAACGGTGGTTATCGATGACCGATACACACTAGATTTTTAACACATTTTCACATTCTTCTCATTTTATATCGAGAACATTACATTTATTAATATTTTTTAGTTGGTATTAACGTGATATTTTAAGTGTCAAACTTCATAAAAAAATAATCTTGCGGAAATACCGTAAAAGACAAATTTACAAAAAAAATAACAACCGTAAATCAATTCTAATTTCATTGCTGCGTAAACTGAAATAAATTATTTTAATCTATTCTATTTTATTTAAAAAAAAAAAAGAAAAAGGAATCTTTCGATAGGTAGGAACGATTTTTTTTATTTAAATGAATATTTATCAAAAATAAAACAAAAAAAAAGAACAAAAAAGAACATTCCAAACGTGTTTGTTAAATGAATTTAATCGATATACCAAAACAAAGAAAACCTTTTTGATAGATATTAAACAATATTTCATAAATATTTATTATCAAAAAAAAAGAGTTAAAAATTTCAAACTCCGCTAAGTAAATCTTCCTATCGACGTAGAAAAAAAAAAAAAAAGGAGGAAGAAAATATCTCTTTTGGATAAGTTTGAAAGGTAGGAACACGACGAAGCATTATTATTCGATCTATAGAAGGGGAAGATCATAACACTTCAAAAAGAACTTTCGTCAAAGTTCGTAAATATTAACGATAGGGGTGGGACTGGGGGGAGGGGGGGAGAGGGGGAGGAAGTTGTCCCAAATCGGTCTTAGAGAATCCTTTTACGATCTGTGTATTCCAACCGAACGAACTTACCAACTAAGAGAACGAAAGAACGAATATATATATCGATCTAAAAAAAAAAGAAAAAAAAGAACAAATATTCAATCGGTCAAAAAAGAAATTTCACTTTTAATATAGCGAGAATAGCGGAGTGTCGTATAGGAGCAAAAAAATACTACTAGACCGATATTGGCCAATACTATCGATCGATATCGAATGGAAGACAGCACACTACTAGCGTGGTGTGTGCTTGGCCATATATTAACTTCGAGTTTTCGTCCTACACGAAGGAAAGAGACAGAATTCTACACCACTTTTACCGAACGTCTCCAAAACTTAATTAATAACGTATGAAAACGTCACTCATCGATTTCACTCATTTCATAATAATTTATCGTTTAATATTTCATCGTTAAATACAATTCTTTGAACTGAACACTCCATCGGATCGTCTTAATGAATTATTATTGATTTTTTACCTAAATAAACTAAAATTATGTTGAATATTTTTCCAAGTTTGTATTTTTTTTCTTCTTAGAAAAATATTGAACAATTGCAAATACAAAATGCCAATCACCCCTTTGCCTTGTTTTCTATTTTAATATCAATAATATAAGAAAAAAAATATGTAAAACTAAGCAACGATGAATTTTTGATCAATTAAAAATAAAATTTAAGTGTGTGTATATTAAATTATAAATATTAAATTCATTTATTTTACGTTTGTATATATTGGTAACGAAGAAACGTATAGGATGGAAATAATAAAATTGAAAAAATTGAAAGAAAGATGGACACGAAAGAGGAAACGAAAAAAAAGAAAAAGGCAAGGATAAAAAAACACGCGTTGTTCCGCGTGTATTTCCATTTGTATCCATCTCTACATCTCCTCTCTCTCTCCCTCTCTCTCTCCTTCACCCACTCTAACTCCCTCTCCTTTTTTCTTTATTTTTTCTTTTTTTATCTAGCCTTTTTTTTTCGTATCGGACTCACGTTCACGTCGATACGATCGGATCGCGTGTCACGTCGGCTTTATCCTTATTCAACTTCTTCGAAGACGACGGAATCGAAAAAGTAAACCCCCTACCCACACCTACCCACACCCCCATCCCCCTCGACCATGGTGGTTGACGTCGCACGATCTCTTCCCCATTAATTCCCCGTGCTGCATCGTGTTATTTCGGGAAGGAATATAAATAAATAAAAAAAATTATAATAAAAAAAAAATAAACACACGCGAGATAAGTTCATGATAAACATCGATTGAAATAACGCAAATATGCGTACGGTTAAATTAATTGATATTGCACGTTGAACAATTAAATGATCACAAGTTAGGAATCAAATGTTTTTTACGTAATACGTTAATAATAATATAATATCGTAATTATAGCAATCGAATAATAATTATAACGACAACGACAACAACAACAACGATGTCATTAAATAATCGTGCATATAATTGTATAAGAAAAATAATACATACTAATAACATTGTAGAGAACAATAATAGAAGAATTATTTTCAAAATCAACTATTTTACGTGATACGGGTAGAGCTACCATAAAAATGATTGCAATTGAATAATAATAATAATAATAACAATAAAAAGAAAAACCGGTATTACGTAGATGTGTATATAATCGTAGTAGTAACAGTAGTAATGTAGTAATAGTAATAGTAGTAGTAGTAGGGTTGCTTGCACGTACCTGTTACGTCGTCTGAATTGGCTCTTTCCCGCTCTCCCTCTCTCTCTCTTTCTCTCTCTCTTTCCTCTCTTCCAATTTCTGTTTCTCTTTCTGTTTCTCTCAACGATTTCACCAATCGGATCTACCAAAAAATTCCAACGAAAACTGTCAACCCTTTCACTCGTTTCTTCTCCTCTCTTCTGTTCTGTTCTCTTCTCTTCTCTTCTCTTCTCTTCTCCTCTCCTCACCTTTCCTCACCTTATTCTTCTTCTTCTTCTTTTTCTTCTTCCTTCTTGAATTATTTATATTCGATAAAAACCGTGGAAGAAAAGTCCCTCGAAGCGGACGCGGACCTCTCGAAAATCGACCATTCCAAAATCACACGAACGAATAAACTTATATACGTATATATGTATGTATCCGTGTTTGTGTACGTATATATGTTTGTGTGTGTATGTATACAAAAACGGATTTAACACGAATAAATCAAACGATTATTTATAAGAAAGAGAAAGAGAGAGAGAGAGAGAGAAAGAAAGAAAGAAAGAAAGAATAAAAAATAAATTTTGGTTGTATTATAACTGCAATCTATTTATTTTCTTCACACTTTTATTTTATTAATTCTTCTTATTTATTCTTCTAGAAAATTGTTCTTTTTTTTATATATTTTGATTTATGTTGTCTAATTTTTTCTAATCTAATTTCTCTTTCTCTTTTACTTTTTTTTTTTTTTTTT